ACAACATTAGTGTGACCGGTGGTATGGATGTGCAGACTTGTTACCTGGTGCGTAGGGTCGTAGGAGTGTATCCCACGGGAAGATTGCATAAGTGTGACATGTATTCACCTGATTGATTAAAGGTTGGAACCAAGTATGGAGATTTGGTACTATCGCTAATGTGAGAATTTATGCTTGAAGGGCGCTCAATTCATTTGGTTGTGGAATGTGGAAGTTTGTTCCGGATTTGACGGTTGTTCTTATTTGTCATGAATAGGTCATTGTGGGTCCTTGAAAGGCTATTTAGCCAATCATGGTATGATCGGAATCAGTTTGAGGTCCTTGGATGGATCTAAATGTGAATGTGGGCTCTATATCAGGCCGGATGTGCTCATCTCAGCATAGCGTTGTTTTCGAAAGGGTCTTTGGGCCTTGGATGTTATTTCTGTCGTGAGCTATTCCGTGTAATCTATATTATACCAGGTGGTTTGTGAGGTGGTTTGATTATTCACACTCGTCTTGTGGTCCCGTGTGGTTTGTGGTATTATGTGAGCAGGATGGCTCTCGAGATGCTGATCATATATTGCACCTTAGTTGTGCTTGAGTTTTGTAGTGCGTGACACTACCCGTCTCCCCAGGATTTGTGTTATGCACTTGGCGTGCTTTTGGTTGATATTCAGGCATTTCATGAGTATAAGTGTGTGTGTTTTCTTTAGATTGTTATGTGTGGATCGGGTGGCACGCCGCCACTGGTATATGGTTGGATCGGGTGGCACGCCGTCACTGGTATATGGTTGGATCGGGTGGCACGTCGCCACTGGTATATGGTTGGATAGGGTGGCACGCCCCCACGGATATGTTGTTTGGATCGGGTGGCACGCCGCAACGGGTATCATGGTTGGATCGGGTTGTACGCCGCAACGGTATCATGTGTGGATCAGGTTGCACGTCGCAACAGTGTGTTATTGAGTACAGTTTCCCATATCTATTATTGCGTGTTTTGCCTCTCATTTCTTAAGAAAGGTTCATAACATCCTTTCGGTTGTTTAATTAGTTGCGTGAGTTGAGTAGTTCTTTCCAGAGTTTGTTTTCCTTATGTATCACAGTCGAGTTTGTATCTTGTTGGCACATTGTGGCATCATACGAGATTTTTGACAGTGTCTGAGGTGGCTTATTGCCTGAGCAGCTTGTACTGGGTGAGATGAGATTATTGGACCTGGGATTAGTGCGATCATATTTATATGAAGCATATTAAAGAGTAAATATTGTTATTTAGTCCATAATGAGGTAATGGTTCCTGTCGAGAGGAGAGACTCTATAAATTGTGATTCGGCAGGTGGTTATGAGTTCTATACATCTTCTCTGTCGTGGCAGAATTGCGAGAGTTAAAGCAAGGCTTAATTGGTCATGAGGTACACCACGGGCTTTGGGTCAGTGGAAATTTTAGTTGTTGTATCTTGGAAATATTGCCTTAGGAAAATAAGTTACGCGATGCATGGTAAGAATTCAGTAAGGGTATACAATCATGTGTTGGTACATCATGAAGTGATGGATACGGTGTTCGTATGTTGGAAACATACCTGGTAAAGAATTTCAGATGGTGGAATTTAGCTTTAAGGCTTATTTGACTAGATAAAAGGGATGATTTTCAGGTTTGATCGAGCAAATGTGCTCAATTGGGCTGTGGTAACACGGGTAGGTACACGAGGTGTTACACAATGATTTCGGACAACTCTAGAGCAGTTCTTAGCACGTTCGAGGACGAACGTATGTTTAAGTGGGAGATAATGTAACGACCCGACCGGTTATTTTGAGTTCTAGCGCGTCATTCAGTGGTTTGAGACCCTGAGCAGTTTCACTTCAGGTATTATGACTTGTACGCATGGTCGGAATTTAATTTTGGGAAGTTCGGAGTTGATTTGGAAAGAAAATTCTAATTTCGGAAGCCTTAAGTTGGAGGAATTGACTAAAGTGTGATTTTTTAGTAGACGACCTCGGAATCGGGATTTGAAGGTTCCAACAGGTTCGTATGGTGATTTTGGACTTAGGAGTTTGCCCGGAGCGGGTTTTGGATGACCCGGGACCGTTTCGGCACCTATTATGGAAGTTGGCATTTTTGGAAGAATTTTCTAAATTTGGGTTGAAATGCATTTCAATGTTATTGATGTCCGTTTTGGATTCTCAGTCTGGGAATATCTCCGTATGGTGATTCGGGTATTGAGAGCGCGTCCGGAAGTGGATTTGGAAGTCCGTAGGTCATTTCGGGGTCATTTGACGAAAAATGGAAATTTGGAGGGTTTTGAAAAGTTTGATCGGGAGTGGACTTTTTAATATAGGGGTCGGATTCCAATTCCGAAAGCGTGAGTAGGTCTGTAATGTCAATTATGACTTGTGTGCATAATTTGAGGCCAATCGGACGTGATTTGATAGGTTTCGGCATCGAATGTAGAAGTTTGGAATTTCAAAGTTCATTAAGTTTGAACTGGAAGGTGATTCGTGATTTCGATGTTGTTTGGCGTGATTTGAAGGCTCGACTAAGTTCGTGATATGTTTTGGGACGTATTGGTATATTTGGTTGAGGTCCCGAGGGCCTCGGGTGGATTCCGGATGGTTAACGGATCGAGTTTGGATTTGGATGAAATGCTGAGGCAGCTGATACCTGGTGCAATCGCACATGCGTGAAAAGGGCCGCAAGTGCGAGCCACGAGTCGTAGGTGCGAATGAAAGGAGGATGGTCAGCAACCGCGGGTGCGGAACATTTGGGCGCACCTGCGAAGGCGCAGGTGCGAAGTGGGCAATGCAAGAGTGGGCGATGGGCGCAGGTGCGATGCAGGGACCGCAGAAGCGGACGCGCAAATGCGCTATATGGAGCGCAGATGCGGGAGCGTTGGGCTGAGCTTGAACCGCACCTGCGATGGAATTTTCGCAGGTGCGGAGCCGCAGAAGCGGCTATTGCACCACAAATGCAAGAATCGCTGGGTAGTGAGGTTTTATAAAACGGGATTTTGGCTCATTTTTACTTTATTTCGTCTATGGGAACCGATTTTGGAGCACTTTTGGAGTGTCATCTTCATCAACTATAATGGGGGTAAGTGATTTCTTCACATTGTGAGTTAAATACATGGTTTTTACATGGATTCAATCATGAAAAATTATAGAAATTTGGGATTTTGAAGAAAAACCTAAAAATTGGTATTCTTGGAATTTGATCACGAATTTGGGCATGAAATTGAGAATAAATTATATATTGGAGTTCGTAATGCTATGGGTAGTGTTTATCTTCGAAAATTTTCGAAATCCGGGCACGTGGGCCCGATGGTTGCTTTATCAATTGTTCGAGCGAAGTTGAAAATTGTTATAAATTGATTAATTATGAGTATTAGAGTATATTTTGATTGGGTTGCATCTTATTTGACTAGTTTTGGATCGGCGGTCATTGGTTTGAGGTGCTAGAGTGGCGTTGGAGCCGATTATGGAACTTCAGAGCGAGGTAAGTCTCCTCTCTAACTCTGTGATGGAAAAATTATCCCTAGGTGTTATATATGGATGTGTGCTACTTGTTGTGGGGGCTACGTACGTGCGAGGTGACGAGAGCCCGCACGTATCTAGATTCATGTTATTGTCCGGGTAGGCTTAGGTTCACATCATGCTATGGCTGTATTATTTGAGCAGTCTCTCCTATTAAATTCCTCTATTTTACATTATTACTTTAGACTAGACTTGTTATTGTAGAGACTTCACGAGTTCACGATTAGTCACCGAATAACTTTACTCCNGTGAGTAGGGTCAAGGACCCGTCAAAACTTCTTACTCTTATGGGATCGGGTCGTTCGTCTCAGCAGGAATTTGTATTTCACTTCTTATGAGATCGGGTTGTTCGCCTCGGCAGAATTTATGTACCACACTCTTATGGGAGCGGGTCGTTCGCCTCGGCAGGTTAAATAGATGTATCTATGGTTTGCGCCGTTCGACCCTCGCAGTGCACAATTTTATTATTATGTTGGATCGGGTCGTACGCCTCGTCATTTTCTATATTATATCCTCATGGAATCGTGCGTAATATTTGGCAAGAAGCCAGAGTATCTGTAAGTTTTCCCGATTTGGGGATATGAAAATCTATCTGATGAGATCCACTATATTAATATATATGCTCCGGTTAAGGAGAAAAATTTTCAAATGGAGAGCTTGAGTTCCTCGTAAAGAGGGGTATTCGTGCCACATAATCTATACTTGTTTATCTCATTTATTTACACCGCTTCATATTTACTTACCTTTTTACTGTACATGATATTATTGGACCACTAGTAAGTGTCGATGTCGACCCCTCGTCACTACTTCTCTGGGGTTAGGCTAGATACTTACTGGGTACATGTTGCTTATGTACTCATACTACACTTGCTGCACATTTTTTTTGTGCAGGTACATATATGCCTAATGGCCTTGTGAGAGCAGAGGCGTGTATGCATGCAGGGACTTACGTGAGCTGCATTCCATATTACGACCCGTAGCCAACAGAGTCTCCTTCAGAGTATTTATATTTTCCTGTCCAATTTGTATTCTGGGTAGTGGGTGTATTTTATTTTATTCTTCCTAGTTAATGCTCATGCACTTGTGACACCGGGTTTTGGGGTGATTATGGGTTGTTCTGTATTGAATTTATTAAAAGTATTATTATTTACTTTGTAAATCCACATTCTTTACTATTTAAATTGAAGAAAAATATGATTTCAAAAATAATAAAATGGGAACCCAATTAAGTAATTATTGTTGGCTTGCCTGACAGTGGCGTACGACGTCATCACGACCTTTATAGATTTTGGTTCATGACAATAGCAAGTTAGTTACTATTTTTATCGGATTAATATTTACAATCTTTCTTTACATAATAAGTAATTTTATTGTATAATCTCTTTGTACACTGTTTAGTGCATAAATTTTAAACTAAGTCATTTTCCGTCAAACAAAAGGAGTCCTTATATTATGTTTTTAATCCATTGGGAAATGGAAAAATGCAAGTAGAAGGAAAGTAAACGAGGGGCAGTCGGTACATAAGAACTGGGAAAAGAAGCAACCAATCCACCAAGTCAGGCGCGCTAAAAGTCTGAACACTGAGCACTCTTTCCGTATTCTTTCTCGTCACACTTTTTAACCATTCCACTCCACCATTTCACACTTAACTTCTTTTCAAATATCAAGTCCCACAGTGAATTCAAGCCGAGTGTGAGGGGTGCAGGAAATGGCGGATCCGCAGAAAAAATGGGTGAGCGAAGATGTGGTAACATATTCATATCTTCTCCTCTATATTGCACTCTCTAGTGGTCAGATCTTCTTCAACAAGGTTGCTTCTTTTCCCTTTCTACGTTGTTAATTAAGCACGTAAATACACTTGCCTCTAAATTAATGTGCTTATTTGTATTGCATTTGTCTTGTGCCTATTATTTGATACTGGAGTAATGCTTTGTGTCTTGGATCTACGGGTGACTTTACCCACTGCCTTCAATTCGGACCCCTCTCTCTATATATATATAGTTCAAAATATTCAAAAAAAAAAAAACATGTATTTATACTAATTTCTCACCCCTATGTTCAAAAAGAGTATTGGTTTAGTGGTACCTCATGACTTAAAATTTTGAATCCGCTTTTAACGGTGAGAGAAACATGGTTCTCACTATGAGTAATGTTACATGTACTAGAAGTTTGACGTTATTGCAGGGTGTGAAATTACGCCCTAACTCCTAAGGGTAGTGTGAATTGTGAATGTTCATAGGTCAAAATCCAAAAGACTTGGGCCTATCCTTAACTCTATCTTTATTTCCGTGTTTATGAGTTGATACAGAGGATAAGCTAAAAGATCAAATAATTAAGCGAATAAAGTCATTTATAGACATTTGATAACAATAAATCTGGAGTTCAATGATATTGAACTTCTATTACCTTCCCTTGGATGGAAGTAGTAGTATACCAGTATCTTAGAATTCATTGATTTATTTGGTCCAATGGTATTAAAACATTTTTCTCCTTTAACCCTCAACTTAAGGCTGCATTCTAGTTTCAATCAGTAACAACAACAACAACAACAACAACAACAACAAAAAAAACCCAATGTAATTACACAAGTGGGGTCGGGGAGGATAATATTTACGTAGATTTTACCCTACCTTGAAGGCAGAGAGGCTGTTGATCGGACCCTTGGCTCAAGAGAGACGAAAAGAAAAGCATTATCACCAAGCATTAACAACAACAAGATAGTAGGAAAACGAAGCGAAAAGAACATCAAGTAGTAGTAGAACTAGTTTCAATCAGTCAAAAGTCTTTTTTACCAGTTTGAAGAAGTTAATGAAGTGAAAAGATTCTCATCTTCTAGGATAATCTTTATGCGGTTCTGTTCATCGCTATCGTATTCACTAGATAAGCATCTTATTGAGGTCCCTTTTAAGTCAATAAAATTGCTGCTTTTAAGACTAGTTCGCATGTGTGACTTATTGTAGCTCCTTTATCTGACCTGCAATATAATGATGTGTGTTGCAGTGGGTTTTGTCTTCAAAAGATATAAACTTTCCTTATCCTCTTGGATTGACTCTACTTCACATGGTTTTCTCCTCAATTCTGTGTTTTGTGCTTACCAAGGTTCTGAAGGTAAGGAGTATTCACCTTTAGTTTTGTAATGATTTCTTATATGCCAGCCTATAGTGCTAATTTAGGTAATTTCATGCAGATAATGAAAGTTGAGGAAGGGATGACTCTAGATATGTGAGTATTCAAGTGAAAGAATTTCATGTCAAATATTTGTCTTACAGATGGTTGACTTCTATCCAAGGCCTTTATTTCTTTTGCCGACTTTTCTAGTTTAGCTCTTCTTTTTTTTTTTTTACCTAGGCTCATTTAGTCCTTTGTTCCCATATTACAGGTTCAGCTATGCTTTTTGGATGTGACACCGATTTTCACTTTGTTTGAAAGATTAGACCATGTACTTGTAACATAAGAAAATTACACAATAAACCACCTTTTTTTCTTCTCAAAAAGAAACTATTCTTTTTCATCAGTTCTTTAGAAAAATGAAAAGCAGTTTGTAGCCTCCACATGTTCTCCATTAGATGATTACGTATTACGTAGTTGATGCGTATTTAAATTCTGATATTATAAATGTGACAAAAATTAATTAAATCAAATTAGTAGAAAACGGAGTTATGCTAATGTAGTTACCAATGGTTTTTACCAATTAACAGGAGAAACTAAAGTTTAACATTGAACTTTCTTACTTGCTATTTGTGTGAAATTAACTTAAAAGTTGAAGAATCTCTTGTTCCGGGCTTAGCTTTTTACCGGCATTCTAATTCATCCATATTAAACAATCATATTGTTTTTCTTATTCTTTTTCTGTGGTTCTCTTTTGTCAGATTTGTTTTTCAATTATACTATAAATCATTCAATAATGCTGTTGTGGTTTTAATATGCAGATACATGAGTTCGGTCATACCAATTGGTGCAATGTTCGCTATGACACTTTGGCTTGGGAACACTGCTTATCTCTATATTTCAGTTTCATTTGCTCAGATGCTGAAAGCAATCAGTAAGTATACTGCTTTCCAGGTGTTTTATGGTGCCGTCCACCATAGATGATATTATGCAAAATACAGTTTTACAATAGAAATAAGCTCATAGGAATAGCTCTCATGGGATTCATCATGCTTGATAGATAGCTTTAGAGGCTGGGCTAGTTGACCACCTATTCCCGTACTCTGTTTTCCTTTGTTCATTTGTGCCAAGGGCATCATCCTCTCTTTTGGTTTGTTTTGCAGTGCCTGTAGCAGTTTTCATTCTGGGGGTAGCAGCTGGACTCGAAGTGATGAGCTGCAGAATGCTTCTCATAATGTCAGTAATCAGTTTTGGTGTACTTGTGGCTTCTTATGGGGAAATAAATATTAACTGGGTAGGTGTTGTCTATCAAATGGGAGGTGTAGTTGGAGAAGCTTTGAGGCTTATATTTATGGAGATTCTGGTGAAACGGAAGGGCCTGAAGCTCAACCCCATATCTGTGATGTACTATGTCAGCCCATGCAGGCATGCAGTTTTATGTCTAAGAGCTTGATGTATTGACATTATCTTTTTCTGTTTCGACGCGATTAATACTCATTTTTGATTGAACCTTCTTGACAAAAATGCAGCGCTCTTTGTTTGTTAATTCCATGGATCTTTTTGGAGAAACCAAAGATGGACGAACAGAGGACATGGAGCTTCCATCCTCTTATTCTAACCCTAAATTCTCTATGTACCTTTGCCCTGAATCTGTCTGTTTTTCTGGTGATTCAACATACAAGTGCCCTGACAATTCGTGTTGCTGGAGTTGTCAAAGATTGGGTCGTTGTGCTGCTATCTGCCCTACTTTTTGCGGATACAAAATTGACATTAATTAATCTTTTTGGTTATGCTATTGGTAAATTTTCTAAACTTTTTGTCAAAATTCCTTTCCTAATCCCCTTGAGTGGTTCACCAGGAACATATTACGTTAACTATTTAAGTGCATTATAGCCAGGTTTGGTAATCTCCTGTGCTTCCTGAGCTCTACATATTCTTCTGCAAGTCAAAAAAAATTGATTCCGTAAACGATGAGATCAGTAAATGCATTTTTGTTTGGGTTCCAGAGATTGCTGTTGCTCTTTCTAGCGAGGAGGAACAGTGTGTGAAAGGGGGCTTCTCTCAGACAAGGAATCTTTCCTCTATAAAGAAAGAAAAAGCATGCATTAAATCTTCATCCTTGCTACATGTGCTGTTATGCAGAGTATTTATATATCCTTGTGCTTTGCTTCATCTTAGTGCCTGGTAGCTGCTTAATCCTTCTGATATATCTCTGTCAGTTTGTTCATACTATAAAGCTTTTGAGAATGGACTGTACCATGGTATATTCCTATGGGTTCTTTGACCTTGAGCAAATGGTTTTGTTTTTCCAAATTTTCATTAGATTGAACTAACATAATCGCAACTTCTAGTAGTGCTTCTTTGGAGGCAGATGCAAACTGATGGTTATGGCTGTCAGTAGTAACATTTCTAAGTAACTAGGAGAGTGATAGGTGTAATGCTGCTGTGATCTTCATGTTGAGTCAGAAGTTTTTTGCTTTTTCCTCGTACTAGTTGCCTATGTTGGAATGACTCTGAGCTTCTGCCTTCTGTGTCTTCATGTATGGTGAGAAATAATTAATGGAACTACTTCATGAGCATATATTAACATATAAAGTTGTGGTGTTTTGTGCAGCTATTGCAGGTGTAGCTGCATATAATAATCACAAGCTAAAAAAGGCAGCTTTCCCAGGAAGCTCAGATGAGTCTCAACCCACTCAATCTATACCTTTAATACCATCTACAAATTCCAATAACTAGATGTATGTGAAGAGCAGCGTTGCAACTTATCTTGATTTTTTGCATGTAAATGATGGCAAGCGTTCAAGTTCTTTTATGCTCTTATTGGGGGATGGAAGTGCTTTTCAATGATGCATTATCTGACATACTGGCTCACAGTTTTTGCTTTATGTGAAGCCATAGTGAAACACAGTGATTTTTGACTAGGGAATGTACCTGTGGATGCGACCTTTTTGAGTGTTGCTTCTACTTTTGAATTTGGAGGATTTTGTGATATTTGAGAATAAGATACAAAAACAGTATACTTGAGTGATGTAGAGAGTTTGTACCTTGTTCTGCACGAAAAAAGCTGGACTACAATATGTTGCAGACATTTTGAATTTGTGCACCACTTGGATGAAATTCTTTCATATATATACAAGGCTGTTGTTACAATTAGATTGTTATATTCTTTTCTGTATTATCAATGTTCTGCTCTGTAAATCAGAGTATACGGCAATGTATTTAATGTTTATGCAGAATATTTCAGAATGATAGAACTTATATAAACAAATATGACTTCGTGTTGGTAAAATGAGATTTGCAGAATGGGATTGCTCGGCTACTGATAAGTGGAAGATCCAATGGGGCTGGCTGTATCCACTGTTGTCTTGATAGCAGTTCTTGTCACAAAGGACTCTTAAAGGTTGGCTGCTACTACTGAACAGTTAAAAGTGATGAATAAGCGAGGATATGTAGGGATTAGCTTTAGATATTTTCTGTCTCTGGCAGATCTCTTACGTTGACTCTAATGAAGGAATTTTTGTCTCAAATTTCCTTCACTATTCCTCTGTATTTGTATTCTCATGAGTTGTTTGTCTGTCTTTAAGGCTTGAGGTTAATACTTAATACTCCTTGTGCATATTTTATTGCATCATACATATAATGTTTTTATATACTGATATAAGACTCCTATATGTATCAATAACTCATACAGCTTACCGATTCAAGTTGTGCTCACTTCAGATAGTGAGAAATGTTTCTTAATGACGATTATCCGTGAAATTCTTTCTGTATATAGGACAAGGACCAATCAAGGGTCGAGATAAATCACTGAATGAGATTGTTACAAATGTAGACTTTGACTTTGTTTGAGAAGGCCACACCTAGCATAGAAACTTTGTTAAGTAGTAGAGAGTCGGTCCATAACTTTGAGGGAACTATAGCCTGACAAAGAGTTGGTCCAATTTGGACACACATTTAGGAGGCATCAAAACAGACCCCATCATTGATTTGAGATCCGCCATAGTTCGGTTAGTCAAATCAACTCTCATACACGAGCTCTCGGCGATTGATTTGTTTGTTTTTTGATTCTGCAATATTTTTTTCATTAGTCACTCCAGATTCTTTCATTTTTATGTGAAGATCATTTCCTTCCCAAGTTGTGCAAAGGAAAAAAAAAGTGATTCCCGTAGTAGCGGTGAGCGAAATAGGAGCAACTTAAATAAACCTTAAAACGGGATTGTGGGAGAGCAATACAAGTGCCGTGCTGCTAGGCGAACCAGCCCGAATGTTGCATCCTAGATGGTGAAAGTCCAGTAGCTGAAAGCATCACTAGCTTATGCTTTGATCCGAGTAGCATGGGGCAGGTCAAGGAAGTTGGTGACCTGATGATAGGGGAGCCAATAACCAAAGCCCTAGTGAACGGTGATAGAAACTATATATAAAGGTCCTAAGGTAGTCCCTTGTCGGGTAAGTTCCAACCCACACAAAAGGCGAAACAATTTAGGCACTTTCTCTGAGAGACGCTCAATAAAATAGACATATATGTGAAGATACGGACTACCTACACCTGAATAGAAAGAACATGTGAAGTTTCACACAGTAATACCCATGGTTAGTTTAAACTTGAGAGCTGAGAAAATCACATTAATGCTCATGGAAAAGGGAAAAGATTAATTGGTTAGTAATACCTACGTATTGAACTCAGCTTGTTTTATTCAAATTATATAAAGATAAGCATTTTACGAATCACTCCGTGCTTATGTCGCTATTTTATTTTAACACTTTCGAACATGAACTCTTTGATACTAAGGTCTCATTTGTTTTATTTTTTTAAGATTAAAACGTCTGAATCTGAATACATATCTGAATGTAAAGATGTGTATTAAGATTAAGACATTTGAATCTGAATACACATCTGAATATTAAGATCTGAATACTAAATGATTAAGACTGTTTGTTTTTTTAATATCTTAATATATAAAATTTATCTTTATTTAAAAATTAATAAACATAAAGTTTAAATAAAATACTAATTAATCTAATGATGATGGTTCTAGGTAGTAGCTAGTGGTGATTGATAACGATAGCAATTATGAATGAGGATGGTGGTGGTGGAAGGTGATAGTTAATAAAGGTGGGTGGCGTTTGTGGTTGTAATTGAGGAACGTGATGATGGGTGATGATAGTTTATAATGGTGGACAGTGCCGTCTATGGTTATTGATGGTGATGTGGTGATTGGTTGTGATAGTTGAGGTGGGTGAGTATGTGGTTATAGTTGAGGATGATGGTGGTAGTGGCGGCGGCTATGGTTGAGGATGGTGGTGGTAGTAGTTGATAATGGTAGACGGTGATGGCAGTAAGTAATGAATGTGAATGATAACATCTTAATAAAATTAAGTCTTTGTTATAGATCTTAATTATACAGACATATGAGAAGAGGAAGAACAAGAAAAAGATGGAGAAGAATAAGAGGGGAAAAGGCAGGAAAATGAAGAGAGAGGAGAAAGAAGGAGAGAAGAATAAGTGGTACCAAATACTAACAACAGGAAAGACGATAACTGAACTAAACTAAATAACATGACGTTATATAAATCTAAGAATATGAAAGGACATGAGTGTTACTAATACTACATGTAAGAAAAAGGGAAACAAACAACTACTAACTAGGTTTCTACCCTAATCCTCGACCTCCACACCTTTACTATCAAGGGTCATGTCCTCAGTAAGGTGAGTCAACGCTCCCAATCACCTTTTCCCGGCACTTCTTTGGTCTACCTGGACCTTTCTCAAACCCCTCATGGCCAGCCTCTCACACCTCCTAACAGGAGTATCAATTTTTCTCCTCTTAACATGTCCAAACCATCTCAACCTCGACTTCTGCATCTTGTTCTCAATAGAGGCTACTCCACTTTGTCCCGAATTATTTCATTCATAATCTTATCCCTCCTGGTACATCCAATCATGTATCTCAACACCCTCATCTCAGTTACTCTTCATCTTCTATACATGAGAGTTTTTGACTGACCAACACTCAACCCTATACAGCATAGTTGGTCGGACCACTACCTATAAACGTTGGCGGCACATTCTTATCCAAAACAAACAGTGAATAGAAAATGAAAAAAGAAAAAAGAAAAAAGAAAAAAAGGGCAGGCCCGAAGGCAAGGAAGGACAAAAGAGGATTGGGAGTTGGGAAGAAGGGTACGTCTGTCTTATGGGGGGTGGGTGGGGGGACTTCTCTGTTTTCACACTCTCCTCGTCTTCTCTTTCTTTATACAACGACCCAATACAAAACATACTAACGCCACACTATTATTTACCCACCCCGAAAAACAAATTGTATATATAGAGAATTATATGCCAATTTGAAACAACAATTAAACATCTCATTATTCTGGAAATCTCCCTCCCTCAACCAAAATTTGGAAAAAACCTAACAGGAGAAAAAGAAAAGCGAAACGTAGAAAGAGAGATAGAGAGAGAGGAATTCGAGGCGATGCGATCGTGGTGGCTGCGGCTTTGGGGCAGCCCATACGCGGCGGTGCTGGCGGCGGAGGAAGAAGAATTAGGTCGTTAATGGCCTATTTGCTGCAAATGAATTGGCAGCCGAATCTGCTCAGCCAGAGACGCAAAACTGGTCCACCGTTAGGGCTCAAAAACCTCGGCAATACCTGTTATCTCAACTCCGTTCTTCAGTGCCTCACTTACACCCCTCCCCTTGCCTTTTTCTGCCTCCAATCTCAACATTCCTCTTCTTGTAATTCCTCCACTATTTATTTATTATACTCATCTTTATTGTGTGTGCGCCTCTGTG